GCTGGCCCACGAGGCAGCAACGGGTGCAGAGAGGCTAGGAGGCCAAGCAAATGGGAGGGTGAGCAGCCCAGTGAGTATAGCAAGCCTTGGCAGTGCTGCCAGAACGTGCTGCACATGTTACATGAGACGGTCATTGCTTGAAAAGCCAGCAGTAACTCCAGCTGCAGGGACTGTGGGCTAGCCGTTCTGTGCTGCCTGTTTTTAAACACAGAGGAGCCTCTGAGTATGTTAAGGATCATCCAGCTGTTGCATGCTCTGAAACTATGGGGGGCATTCTTGGCAAATGATTGCATGGCATTGGTGCAATTAAGAAAGGTCAATATGACTTTTGCTGGGAAGGGAAGGAGCCTTCTCAAGAGCATACTTGTGCCGTGTGTTCCTCACGGAGATCTTCAGCATTAATGGCTTATGGCAGCACTGGCGTTAATATTGGGAATGTTTCCAAGTGTAGTATTGGGCTAATATCAAGTGCTACAAGGTGCCCCACACAGCCCCTGTTGTATTGCTGTGGCTGCATGCAGCGACGTGCTTTCCAGCCAAGGGGGCTATAGTTAGGAGTAGCTCCCATCCTCTCCCCTCCATAGGGAGCAGTAGAAGATAGGTCAGTGCTAAACCACAAGGCCGGGGCTGGGACATCCCATTTACGAAGAGCTTGAACGACTTTCCTTTTCCAGTAGTGGTGGCGGGGCCACGGTTGTGGTACAGACTGGAATCAATTGCTTTCAGGCTGTTCCAGTGGTTTGAAACTACACAGCGCTGACAAGCCATGCCCATCTTCAACTGAGGGGCGTACAAGATACTCGAGAACAAGTCAACAGTGACTGGCTTAGCAAGTGCTTGAATCAAGATGAGTTTAGGGACAGATGCCACTCATTTTTGGCAAGACCCTATATTTTTCCATGTGACCTCCAAGGAAAAAATAAAGCTGCTGTTAAGCACTATATGATTTATGTATGATGGCAAACAGCAGCAGCAGCAGTGTTCTTCACTGTGGGATATTTTCCAGTAATACACCTTCCTTAATTACCTTTGGGGCCAAAAATACCCACAAAAATGTGGACATACAATGCAGCGAGGCTGAAAAGGACACATCTCAAGCCTTATATTTCAGTATAGAGTTGTCTCCAGCAATGATGAGGAAATGAGGCTGTGGAAGTGGTACTTTAGGTTATATGCAGGTAGTGGACCATGCTGAATTGAATTTCAGGCTTTTAAAGAGCTATTGTGTTATCAGGTTATGAAGAAATTGCCTAAAATGTCAGTGCTTTAAATCCTTGTCCTTTTGCGCACACTGATAATGAAGGCCACTGTTAGTCTCCTTTAGCACCACCGTTCTGTTAAAGTCGCATAATCTTTACTATCCCATTGGCACTTGAAGAGGCTTTGGGGGGGGGGTAGGGGCAGAGAAGGGAAAGGTAGAATTATTACACCATAATGAGTCACGTGCCAAAGTGTTCTGGAAGATTAGTTGATTTATTGGAGCGTATAAGAAAGGTCAACCACCTGCGTGAAATCAGTGATAAAACACTAGATACCTAAAGATATTATCACAGGCTATATTTAATCCATAGAGACATTACAAAGGAAAAGAAAGCATGTTATATGATTGCCTTAATCTTAGAGAGGGTTTCTTTTTTTTT